CACATCCAGATGTTTCTCAGCCCGGCCCTTTGAAAAAACACAAAGTGTCACAGTTTGATTCGTCGAGAAAATCTGCTGGCTGCAGCTCACACACAGCAAGTACTCAGACCTCTAACTGCAGTAAAAGTACACAGACGACAAAGTAAAAATACTCCATTACAAGTAAAAGTCCTGCATTTACAATCTTACTGAAGTACTATCAGCTTCATGTAGCTAAACTCAGCACATTTACTGCATGTACTCAGCACAGTACCTTCAAGTTTTAACTAACATTCCTCTGCTGCTGCTGCTGCTGCTGCTGTACTACAACCACCTCTAACAACACTGCTACTGCTCATACTATTACTACTCCTCTAGTACTTTCATTACTGATACCACTGTTTCTACTCCTTCAGCCACTACTACAACATCGATCCCTGTACTACTGCTGACACTGCTTCCTCCTCCTGGTACCGCTGCTGTTGATACTTCACCTACAACTGCTTCTACTACTCAACTGCTGCCACTACAGCCATAACTGCTACTGCTGACGCTGCTGTTGCTACTGTTACTGTAATATCATGATAATAAATCACATTAATTTATTCTAATCAACCATCTGCATCTGAGCCCACTTTATCCGGCATAAATACACGGGACACAGACACATCTGCTGCTGCATGCCCGCAACCAACTGAAGCTGCTACACTGGTCAGACACTGTTGGAGTAACATTATTACGTTTAAAAAGAGTAATGTATTACATTTTTGGAGTAGTGAGCCGAACACTGACTCTTGCTATCCTCATTCAGATTTTAAGAAGCTACAAATTATATTCAGCCACTAAGTAAATCTGGAAAGCTGCAGATCAGAAGTACAGAGAGTTGTTGACTAGGGATGATACGCCGTCTCACGGCGGTCACTTCCTGTCAACGTTACAGATCAGAAGCACAGAGAGTTGTTGACTAGGGATGATACGCCGTCTCACGGCGGTCACTTCCTGTCAACGTTACAGATCAGAAGTACAGAGAGTTGTTGACTAGAGATTTTAGAACGTTGTAGAACGGTGCATTGAAAGTAGTTGCCTGTTTCAACTCGTCTTGTCATGAATCTCTGCTCTGAACTGGGCTTAAGTTATTAACATCTCTGACCGTCTTATCACCAGATACAAAGCAAGTGTTTTAATGAAGCTCAGCGGAAGACCTTTCTCGTGCTCACCCTTTCACATTTCTCTCCATCCCACTCTCACTACTCCCTCTAATCAGCTCACTTTGGGTGTTCACTCCTCTAGTTATCCAGTCACACTTTGCCACAATCTCTCAGCCAATCAGGATGCCACTGCACTGCTGTCGGCCATCATTTTAGGCAGAATCTTTAACCATAAAAACGTGTCTCTCCTGATTGAACTACATTTACCGGCTGCGAATAACTGTTAGCAGTTTTTCCTCCATCATTTATGTATAAGAAGAACACACAAAATAAAATATTGGAATACTGAAATGGACGTTGATTGGGCAAAGATTAAAGTGCTCGGGGCAGCCTTTGTTGCCTCTACTGCTGCAACAACTGCTACTACTTCCACTACAACTACCTCTACTTTACCTTTACTACTGCTGCTGCTACTGTTACGTTTATTCTTTTACATCACACATGAATATTACTGTTACTGCTACATGTAGTGGAAACTGTAGCAGCAGCAGTCACTGTCCTGATGTCTAAAAGCTGGTTTAAAGCTTTTACACTGCAAGATCATTTAAGAGCTCTAAGTGTACACACACACACACACACACACACACGGAAAGCATCATCAGGTCAGAGCCTTAAACTGTGACACTAAAGAGCCTGAAGTTAAACTGAGAATCAGCTGATTATAAAGTCCATAAATTTGAATGAAGTCTGGTGAATTATCATTTTATCATCGTCCTCTGTGGCTCTGCTATCCCCATGATTTCTGCACAACACACACACACACACACACACACACACTATCTCTCTGTATGACACACACTGATAGCAACATTAACGTCAGCGCTGATCTGAGATCTGCTTCCTCTCCTGCTGTCCTCATCCTCACCTCCTCTTCTTCCTCTTCCTCTCTCTGTCTCTGCACAGGAACAGTTTTATGTTCTCATATTTTCTGAGTTTTTTTCCTTCAGTTGTGTTTTATCAGCTCAGTGTGAAATCTGACTTTTGTTCTGCAGCATCTGATTTATTTGGGTTCACTGGCAATTGTTCTAAATGGACGTCAGAGATATCAGATCGACGGCAACATGCAGCTTTTTAATAAAGTGTACCAGCTCGTCGTTCCATTAGTGCCCAGCAGCTGTCTAACTGATAGAAAGTTCTTTGATGAAACACAGGTTTCAGTCTCAAATGCTGCCCGCTGGGTGTTTGTGATGCCCGGTTCATCCAGAGTCTGACGGCCGGTCTGAAGGAGAGCCACTGTGACAGACGCTGCTGTCAGAGCTGAAATCAAACTGGCACTGAAAGCTTTAAATCTACATTCAGCAGAGGAGACAGAGACGAGCGACGCTGCAGCTCCTCCCTGAAGGTGAGCTGAAACGCTCTCTGGCTCCATTTAAAGCTCTGCTCTAACAGCTCCTCACCAGTATGGAGCCCCGCGAGGGACAAAATATCATAGAAGAGAAAAGAAAAGACCTACTTTTATTGCAGTAGTGTAAACACAAACATCAGTGTACTTTGGGTCACTTGTCTGTTTGAGAGACAGCAGTGAGTCAATGAAAATGTTACAGATCAGCTTTTGTGGAGATGAACTCAGACTTTTATTATCAGATATTTCTCAGGATGAGATAAAAGTAGTTTTTATAGGACATCATTTCTCCTGGGAATCACTTTTCAAAATCCTATTTTTAGCCATGCCAGTGGCAGACGGATCCACACTGAAATATCTTAGCAACATGACACAACAAGTCGTGTTCCCCTCAGGATGAATCCTCCCTAATGTTTTAATTCATCCAATACTTTGATTTATGACCAAATACCTGCAAAGCTAACAACAAAACCTGCTGCCTACATTACCCACAGTGCACCTCTGAAAACAGAGGTCTGTCAGCTCACTTCTCTTTCAAGTCCAGACACACCAAACCAGGGGAAGGCAACCTGCAGCTCTGAAGCTATATGCGATTCTTTAGCCGCGCTACAGTGGCTCTTTTTTTGTAAAGATATTTTTGGGGCATTTTTTGCCTTTAATCGATAGGAAAGCTAAGTGTGAAAGGGGGAGAGAGAGAGAGAGAGGGAATGACATGCAGGAAAGGGCCACAGGCTGGAGTCGAACCTGGGCCGCTGCAGCAACAGCCTTGTACATGGGTCACCTGCTCTACCACTAAGCTATCGACGCCCCTCCACGTGGCTTTGACAAAAAAATATACAAAAATGAATGAATGAACAGTTATTTTTATCATTTCAGTTTTCCATTGCTGTAGGCCTCAAGTGATTCTTAGATTTTGCAGTTGTATAATTGTGTAACCTCTACACTCAAAACACAAATAAAAAGGTATGACACTAAAATGTGCGCCATACGTCCACGACTTGGTCTCTTTGATTAACCTAAATAACGGTGGCTAGTTAGTGGTGTAGACCTCCTCGCAAGACTAGCTATTGATTCCAAATCCAAAAAAGAAAAACAGAACTTGATAGATTGTGGACAGATTTCTAGGCTTTCACCGACAATGCTGCACTGTTTAAGTAATAATCATAACTAGCCTGCTGCAGAACAGCAACCTTGAGCATTAATGAATGCTCATTTAGAACTATTAGTAATATTGATTAGTAAATTAGGCCTAATAGGCTGTGTTAACTTTATTTAATTCTGTGTCACTGGCCCTCGTCCTCGCATTTTTGTTGCCTTTATTTAATTCATTGGTATGAAACCTAATTTGTATTTTTTTCTTACTATGGTTGCTAAAGTCCTCTGTGCCACGGTTTAACAAACTTTAAACAATTCCTTAAGTGTAAGACCAAGATAAGGAGAAAAACGTAAGGCTTAGGCCCCGATCACACAGAAAGTGTTTTGCAGGTTGCAAAACGCGAGGTGCACCGCACTGGCTTTATATTCAACTGAATGCCACTAGTAAAAAAAAAAACTTCCTGTGTAATCAATCTACTGTTTATTTATTTCACAGTAATCAGTGTGTAGCTGCTGCCATGTTGAGGCAGAGGGTTCTGTCTGTAGCTCTGGTTGAGGGTGAGAGGCTGTCAGCAGATAAACAGAGATCTGTGTGGGTACATGAGACCCTAAAAAAGAGGCTGGATCATGGGGAGTACCACCAGTTGGTCCAGGAGCTTCTCCTCCATTTTGGATGTTTCCAGGCATATTTTAGGATGACTCAGGGCAGTTTGATAACCTATAATCGAGCCATATAGCTATTGGTATCCAGCAACTGCTACCACCAGTTGTTGTCGTGACCACCACAGAAGGCCCGCCTCTCAAATCATCTCACTGGACAATGGGAAAAAAGATATGACATGGGGAACTTTTCCGCTTTGAGCTGAAGTTTTTTTTTTTTAATTCGAGGAGTTCAGAGCGCTCCAGCAAGAACGCCAGGCACCTAGAGCACAGAAATGCGAGGTGCATAGCAACGCAGAATCAGCGAGTAAAAGGCTTCATTCTCATTAAAACAATTACAAAAAGGCTCCTCCAGCTGCTAAAACACTTTCTGTGTGATTGGGTTCTTAAGGATGTTTTGTGCAACCGATTTTGTTTAAAGGAAATTAATTCAATGAATTACAAACAATACATGAAGTGAAAGAATCAGTAGTGGGAAAAATCAGTGATGATCACAATTATTTCATTTAAAAAACAGTAAGGACTTAAGGTCACCTACTTCATTTTTTGGGACTGTTTATTTTGTGTCACCTGAACTTGAGCTCGCTCTTATGTGAGCGTGTGAGAGTTCAGCTTCAAGTTTAGATGTCATATCACCATAGTCTCAACATCATAAGATTGAACGACCCACATATGACCTGATGACAATGCTTTCAACAGGAAGTGATGTCAGTTACCTGAGACCAGCTGCTGCCCGCTGATGCCCACAGGCATGATGCCCATGTTGTTCATGGCCGTTGCCCAGGCTCCATGATCTGTGACGGGGACGCTCAGGTGATTCTGCTCTGCACCCAGACTGCCTACACCATCAGCTGCTGCACCACAGACACACACAGATGTCACACACACTGATGGGACTGTGTACGGCTCATCTGATTATCACGTGGTTACGTACCGCCGGCCATCGCAGGTCGTCTCTTCTCTCCTCTCTCATCAGATCCTTCCTCTGACGGCTGCAGCGATGGAGGGATGATGGATCAGCGGACAGGTGGTCAGACGGGTTCATCCAGTCACAGCGACACTCACAGTCCACCTGTGGAAGGATTAAACACACACACACACACACACACAGACAGGGGGAAGTGAAGAGTTAAGATGATGCAAAAGAATTCAGATCCAGATCCCCGAGAGCTGCGATGAATCATCCAGCAAAAATCAGAGAAATCTTGAGATAATTACGAGGCAAAGCTACGATCCCAGCCCACACACACACACACACACACACACACACACACACACACACACTGGGACTAGTGTGTGTGCCGTTGGTGGGTTGGCGTCCTGCTCATTAGCAGTTCCCATCCCGGTGCAGAGCAGCACTGGAACACATCAGAGCAGCAGACTGACAGCGCTCTGCGACAGAAATCAGCTGCATCCATATTAATTATTACTGAGGCAGGAGGTCACACAGAGAGGAGCAGCTCCGAGTGTTTCCTGTGTCAATCTGATCTGATGAAGCCTCCGAACTGATTCACTATAAATCTGCTGACTTTACTTTATACACAAAACTTTGTTCCAGACTGAAACATCTCAGCAGCTGTTGGATAGACTGATGAAATGTGCTTCATCATTCATGTTCCCCTCAAACTAAACTTTAATGATCCTCTGACTCTTCATCGTGCGCAGTCATCAGGTTTTAATGTGTCCAATACTTTGGTTCATGAGCAAACACCTGCAGAACTGATGAAAAATATCTGTTTAATTGTGCAGCAGACGGTTTTTGTTGTGTAGGGTTCTGGGAGGTGTTGTACAAAGATTGATGGGTATCTATTTTGGGGACGCTTTATGACTCAAATGTTATGGTGATTTATGAGAAGCACATGCTTGGAAAGTTTCTACATCCCACAACAGTAATCAGGTAAAGAAAAATGACGATGGAGTAACCAGGAGGCTCTAAAGCAGTGGTTCCCAGCTGGTGGGTCCAAGGTCTTTTCTGTGTCAAGTTTGTAAAAAACACACTTTATTTTGAAGTACAGTGAATTTCCAGCTACATGACAGAGACACAAACTAGCTCAGTGACATGGCCAAACACAAGTATGGCGCTGAATACACTGAACTGTGTGGACCTTGAACTAATGACTAAGGAGAAGTCTGGATCCTGTAGCTGGACCAGTTGGGAACCACTCCTCTAAAGTAATGTAGTGCTCATAGCTCCATCACATGGCTGGCTAGCTAGCTGAATGGTGAGAAGATGGACTGGGAGAACTGGGTTTTATTACCCTGGAAAACAGGGGCCATTATTGTGATGTTTTCTAAGAAGTTTTTACAATTTTCTGACATATTTGGCTGCCGTTCTTCTTTGAGTTAGCTACTAACTGCTAACAGCTACTTTTCAAATCTCTGGGTGGTGGGTAGCACATATAATATGTTGTCAAAATGTCACACCCATGCTGTCCATGATCCCGTATGTAACAGTAATCCCTGTGAGTAAAAACCTAAGGAGGCTTCAGACCAGTCCGAATATTCTGTTTCCAACGAGACTAGCTGATATTGGGTTGGACTGTGGTGGTGCTGGGGCCTATCCCAGCAACATTCACACCTACGGACAATTTAGAGTCACCAGTTAACCTGCATGTCTTTGGACTGTGGGAGGAAGCTGGAGCACTTGGAGGAAACCCACACTGACACAGGGAGAACATGCAGACTCCGCACAGAAGGGCTCCCCCACCCTGGGGTCTGAACCCCCAACTCTGTGAGGCACTCTTGCTGTGAGGTGACAGTGCTAACCACTGCACCACTGTGCACCGCCATTGGTGATTTTTCACAATAGAGTGCTGCTGTTTTCTGTTACAGTCATTCCCTGCCTGCGAGTACAATGCTACATGTAGCCTCATGCTAACCTCAGGTAAACATGTAATGTTGTTGCTGATGTTGATTTTGTAACATATTCCTGCTGGAACACGCCTGGCTGAGAAGATTTGGGTTTAGAAGCTTTTATTGGTGATTTTTAAGGTAGAAAGTGTCGCTGCTCTTCATTACAGTCATTCCCAGGCTGCAGTGATGGTACAGAGATATAAAAAAAAGCTGGAAACACTGACCAATCAGAGCAGACTGGGCTTTTTCAGGAGGTCTTAAAGAGACAGGTGCTGAAACGTCTCAGACAGAGGGTGAATACAGATGCTCCAGCACAGACAGGAAGAGGAAGATAAAGTGTTTTTTGAACATTAAAGCATGTAAACATGTTCTGTTACAAACCTGACATACAATTATAAACCTTAACATCAGCATCACAGGTCCTCTTTAACGTTCAATCACTGACAGATCCCCCACATGTGCTCTCGGGGGGAATCTATTTGATCCTCTTTTGAAAGATTTCACACAACAGCTGCAGTCTCCTCTCAGATTATATTTCCTTTTCACAGAACTATAAAGAGTTCCTCTATCTAGGAGGTGTATTAGTCAGCAGCCTGGATCTTCCCACAGTGTTTGATGTAGGACACAAAGTGTAACAGTGAGTGTGTTGGTATGCCGGACACGTCTCCGTCTCCCTCTCCGTCAGCCCACTCTGCTCTGCAGTAATCACCATTATTCACATCTGACACCAGGAACACACGGAGCCCCTTGACACGTCCTGCTTTAATTGAGACACAATCATATCAACTGCTCACTGATGACTACACAGCGCGGCGTGTAGTTCAGGGACGCTCCAGTCAAACCCCACAGTGAGCTGTTCCTGAATCTTCATTAGAAATGTGGTGATTGGACAGAAGTTTCACTTTGGTAAACATGTTTGCAGGAGCTGCAGCGCTCACAGCAGATTGGCTCTGTTTGGATCTCTGGCGCACAGTCAACATCAAATCCTGAGAGCTGCACTGAAGATTTACTGTCACGTGTCCTTATAAAGCAGGGACACACACCAGAGGACAGGGACGCACTGATTCACAGAGACACGACGATCTAAATCAAATCTGATCCAAGCATGAACCCGAAAACCAGGTCTGAACCCTGAAATAGCTCTGAGAGGACGTAAAGTCCTGATATATGTCCTTGCTGTCAGGGTCCTCACAAAGACAGAACGTATGGTACACAAACACACACCAGAGCACACAAACACACGCACACACACTGTCTTACAAAGACACATCAATCCAAACCAAACCCGATTCAAATAAAAACCCTAAACTCTCTGTTGGTTGGTCTGAACCCTCGTCCTGTGAGGACATAAAGACCTGATAAAATGTCAGAGTCCTCACAAAGACAGGAGAACGTGAGCTCACACACACACACACATACACACACAGATCCTGCAGGCAGAATTAGGTCCCTGATGATACGGAGGGGGATTGTGGATGAAGGCTTATGACAGACTTAGGAGGCTTCACTGCTTCACTCTGCAGTACCACAGAAAACTATTTTAAGAGCGATTTATCTCATAAATCACGTCGGAGATGATTCTGAAAGAAATATCTCAACTGTTATTGGACGGATGTTATTGAGATGAAATGTGGTTCAGACGTTAACGTTCCCTTCAGGGTGATCTGGAACTGTAAATTAAATCTCTTTGTGTTTTGGTCGACGTTAGAAGACGTCACGTTGTGCTTCGGGACTCTGTGACGAGCATTTTGCATTAATTTCTGACAATTAAGAAGAAAAAAGAATCACTGGATCAAAAGAATTATCAACATCATGTTTGTATTGAGGGCTGTAACATTTATAGATTGCACATATTCTCTGAACTTCATACTGTGTGGTTGGCGTCAAACTATAGAATTCCCTACGGCAGTGGTTCAAATGGTGTGTGACGGCACACTGGTGTGCAGCTGTGCCGTGGGATTTTGTGATAACCACAAATTATTCTTGCAATATTCAACTGGGCCTATACAAAACGTTATGAATGGATTTTTAATTAACTGTATCAGTATGTTGTGTGCACACATTTCCTGATAAAGAGGCAACTCCACTGTAAAAAAAATGGAATTAATTTAATTTAATTTAATTTAAAAAAAAAAGAGTGTGACACATCACATTATTTCATATCATGTTATATTTTAAATAGATGTGTTACTGGTGCTTTGATGTCATTCTAAAACATTTAAAATGAATCCTTGAATCATTTTGTTAATAAATATTTCATGAGTAATGGTTGGGTGTCAATTGTTATTTGATATTTGTAAATAAAAATGAACAGTTATGTCGTGATAAGTGTAATGACATGTTATAGAGATTTTTGTGCACAGATATGAGTACAGGTGTGAGCTGTGATTTGGTTGTGTAAATATTTTTCAGCTCAAGAAATAAAGGAAGAATAATTAGACTGTATGAAGTTGTCTGGTAGAATCTGAATCTTTAATTCATTAATTTATGTTTTTACGAGTGTTTAAAGTCAGTTTCCCAAACTCTCACTAACAACAACAAACGTGTCACTTGTTTCCGCCTGATGAACGCTGCCTGCTCATGAGGAGGTTTGTGTTTATTAGATTTGATTAATAGCGTAATTAACAACCTGAAATTACCATATAAAGCTACTTGTTCTGCTCCGTTTATGGTCAAATTTCATCCCCATAAATGTCACTGAAAGAATCAAAAGAGCTTGATTAGAAATCAGCAGACTAAAACATGATGAAATAACAGCGTCATTAGCATAATCAGGAGAGCAGAAACAATTAGACCTAGTGATGCCGTGAAACAACACCTTGGAAAATATCAATACCATTTCTGACACCCCAGGGACCAACTGATGATAACGGCATGAATTCACAGATAAATTTAACAAGGCTGTAACATGACAATGACTTTTCTTTATTGGTCAGCAGCAGAGAACAGCAGAATGAGTGAAGGTGAGAAAGCACAGCTGGTACATGTGTATCCATACTGCAGAAAACGAGTTTAAAATATTAAGAATCGATTAATAAATCAGTATTTTTGACAACACTGATCTGACACAAAGTTACAGGCAAACTAGAATTATTGCCTTGTGGTTGTATGCCTGTCTGAAAACATGAAAACAGGAGATCTATACAACCAACAGTCAGTGACCTTTGACCTTTGACCACAAAATTCTTAGTGCAAGTGAATGTTTGTGCCAAATTTGAAGAAATCC